TTCAAGCGGAATAAAACTCATTAGCTGTAGTTGACTGTACACATTTCAAAAGCAGCTAAGAGCTACAGTAAGCTTAATTACGATGGCAGCAGCTCATCCTGACCGGGTCAAGGGCACCTCTGCCAGCCTCTTTGTGACTCATGTCCAATCACGAAACAGAACCTACTCTGCTAACATTCCTTGTCGGAGGACTTTCAATATAGTCATCACCACTTTTTTCACGTAAGTGTCGTAAGTCCAATGTTAGGATCGAACCCATAATCTCACCGAAAGGCTTTTGCTCTGACAGTCTGGCATTTTACTCTTAGTCATAATCGAACTATGTGACATTAAAACCCAGAACTCTTTCACTCAGTAATTCTCGTAGTGTGGTAAGGTAGTGGTTAAAAGGAATTTAAACTCAGTGTTCCCTTTAGTTTAGAGTTAGTGCTCGTGTTAGCATTGGGGTTAGCTTATAAGGGGTTAGCATATAAGGTTGCTTCCCTCGCGTCCAATTCCCTTTAGCAAAGACCCTAAAGGTACTTAGTCGTACACATGCATGCATATACTCGTACGTCTCCATGCAGTCGTCTCTATTTTAGTCTAAGTAGATCATGTTACCAATTAAATGATGATGATAATCTTATCCATCCAACTGGGGTACCTGGAAGGTAGGGATTGCTGCGGGCATTAGGAGCAAATGCAACTAAATAGTATAAACTATATAAAGCCCCGTTTACACTACGCTCAATTTAGGTAGTCCAAGAACCAAAAAGTGGTACGGTACCAAAAATTGAGCGTAGTGTAAACGGGGCTTAGCTAAATAGGTAGTCCAAGAACCAAAAAAGTGGTACGGGTACCAAATTTATCCGTGCCGTACCAAAAATTGAGCGTAGTGTAAACGGGGCTTAAAGCACAGTTATCACTCGCAGCGAACGACTGGTTAGCACTGTGGTCGGAGCTTAAAGGCGGTTTTCCAGTCCTCGCACGAAGCTCCTCGCAGCTCGCTGCGAGTGCTTGCATCTAATTAAAATTAACTGTTTAGCATTGTGATTGGATGAAAGTGCTCATGCATCACTCGCAGCGAGCTGCGAGGAGCTTCGTGCGAGGACTGGAAAACCGCCTTATTAAGGATACAGAATCGATTCATGCTATCATTGCCAAGACCAGGGGTCAAAGGGCAATCAGGGTTTTCATATTCAGTCTAATACTGCTAAGGCGCATTTATCACACATTATATACAGATGACGTATTAAAATAAGAAACCAAAACTTTATAATAATATAGAACTCACAGTGGTCAGTGGCCAAAGTCCATTGGGCTAAATAAAATTTACTTCAAAAGCCCCTCTCTGCACAAATCGCTCGCTTGGTTCAGGCTCGCTCGCTGGCATTTACTCGTAATTAAGTCTAAAGCTCTCCAATCTATAAGATGTAGGTAGTTTCACTCACAATAACCATTTCAATAATTTATTTTTAGTTGGATACTATAGAAATGTTACAGGCCATAAGTGATGAGCTATTAAAGGCCTGTGGCATAAAATTAGGCCAAATTATGCTTATCAGAAAAGCATGCAACGCTGGATTCGCACGTCAAGAGCATCAATCATGTCCGGATCCACCTCCACAAGGTGAAGAAGTCTATGTTATAGATGCAACAGACATTTCAGAATTGCCAGTGACATTCAATGTGGTCGAGACAATATCAACGACGAAAACTCCCATCCCGGATGTCAAACCAGTTTTTAAATCAGAGATGGCGACACCTGATGAGAAGTGGCTCAGTTCCTTCCGGTTACCTACAAAGGTATAAGACATATAGTGTGATCATTAATACATCTACAATTAATAATTGATGAGAAAATTAGAAACACATTACTTTATGATTTTTTGTGTTGGTATTTACCAGTGCTGTAACGAGTCACCTGCAGGTCGAGTCACGAGTCGAGTCTTTTCAGTTTCTGATCTGATTATATATTATTGCATAAATATAAAAAATGAAAATAGCCGGTCAGAATTAGTATAAATACAAAAAATTTTGAGACTCTATTTTAAAAACTGTACGTGGCACTAGCGTTGTTTCTAAAAACAGAAATGTAATATATAGGCATGCCCGTCAGGAATATACTGTAAATCCCATATATTTTCTGATAAAGTTTCCAAGTTATCATTGTTCACAGGTTGACAGTTCTGCTCATTGTTTTTCCCAAGCAATTCAATTTTCGAGTCATTTGGGGCTGATGACTCGAGTCGAGTTGACTCATTTTTTGTTTTGGACTCGAGTTGCTGAAAATAGCGACTCGAGTCCGAGTCAATGACTCGACTCGTTACAACACTCAGTCTGGTATTTATTTTGGTTGCATGATGACAATGGATATTATTGAAATTGATACTATTGATCCATTGATCCTTGGCCTCGCACGGAATGTTATTGAGCGGATATCCCAATGAGCGGATATCTTTTTTTCTTTTGATGAGTTATGAATGAGTTATGAACGAATCGATAAGTTATGAATGTTCAGAGGACGAAAAACGAGACTCTCAATGGAAACAATCATGAAAACGAGGTTTAATAGCCAAAGGTGTCGTAGTGTCGTAATTTTTGTTATCACTCGAAAACACCTGATTTCTCTGCATGCCAGCACAAATCCAGAATCCGAAACGAAATTATCAAAATCACAATTTATAAAGTTTCGAAAAGTTTTACCTTAAGTTTATAACCTTTTGGCAAAACTTAAACATTCATTTTGCCGTGGTTTTCAAATAAATCTTTTACAGAACATTGGGGGAAAATTTGAAAATCCATAGAATGGAAATTTTTTCCAGTGGAAATAGAATTACGTTTGCAAATAATCTGTATATCTTTCATTTCGACTTTTAGTTCTCTCCAGGGGTAACTGCAGCCCTTGAGAACAAGTCTTTAACAGGCAATACAAGAGACGAATTCAATAGAGACGTCTGTAACAGCATCAAAGTCCATACCATGAATCCGAAGAAACACGAAAGGGACTTCGTGGCATTTCGTATCATAACGGAATATCCGTTTTTGGCCGACAAGATTGGTTGTGGAACGGTAGGTGGTAATATTGTATGTTAACATGTTTTTGTACGCAGACGTCACAGTGTAGAAATTATTTTGGTTCACGAAACGCTGAGGTGGGCTCAAAATCAATCAGAAAATACAACCTGTTTCATCCAAGAAGAATTATCAGGGGTTTTCTGATGATTCCTCTTGGATGATACTGTACATGCAAAATTATATTCATTTTTAAAAATGTAACATACCTATCATTTCCATTCTTTAGGCATCGTGGGAGCAATCGATAAAAAATCGCTTCAAAAACCAGCGAAAGCTAAAAAGAAAAGCCAATCCACAATCAATCGAAATCGCTCCTCGCACTAAACAGACTGCAAGTGAAGAAGAGGCAATTTCCGGGGAGACAGGCGAAACATGCCAGGAGCATCTCAATGCCTTAAAAAAGGAAATGGCCAAAACCAAGAACAAAAATTTCTTTCTTATTAAAGAGCTGATGGTAGCAACTTTTGAAGCAAGAAGGAAACACATTACGACAAGTCCAACAACACTACATGTCCTTCTGTTGGACTATCCAGGACTGAGGCTAGTTTCAGAGGTATAGTCAAAAGCAAAATTAATATTAATAACAAATCCAAAAAGTTGATTGGTCAAATTTGAGGTACTTAGCGCTGTTATATTCACTTACAGGTGAACATTTAATTCACTTACAGGAGAACATTTCACATTCACTTGCAGGTTAATTAACCGGAATTTGCAAAATGGCAGATATAGCAGTTTTGTGGAAGTTACTGATAAAAGAAATAAGTGAAATTAAAATAAATTAATCAATCCCAAAAAACACAAAAGACTTGTGAAAAAATACTACTTAAACAATTTTTTGCCTCAGACTCAATCAGGGAATTATTTACTTAGAATTTATCAACATCATTTATGCTGAAATTTGCTGTGTTGGTGTAATGTACTCAGGTGAATAAGATGCTTGTGTGATGTTACTCTGAGTGAATATCCACACCGGACAGGCTTGAAAAATATGCCTGGCCACGGTGGGATTTGAACCTACGACCTTTGGAAAGGTCCTTTCAAACCTTTGGAAAGGTCCTTTCGAACCTTTGGAAAGGTCCTTTAATTCAAAGGTCGTAAGTTCGAATCCCACCGTGGCCAGGCATATTTTTCAAGCCTGTCCGGTGTGGATATTCAATCAGAGTAATATCACACAAGCATCATTTATGCTTTCAAAATGTGAGTATGAACATGATGCTTGGGATCTTTATGCTCAGCAATTACATACCAAGATAAGTATGCACAATCCGGGCCAGTATAAGAATAACCGGTAAAACAGTTAAATATATAAACATTTGATCACAACATACCTGTACATATATTGTCCTATTTCAACATTTAGCTCAAATCAGAATTCGAAAGAATAATTGGTTTGACTGGGACCTGCAGAAAGATGATGGAAATATACAGGCATTACGCTCAAGCAAAAATACTTGGTCTTGCCCAATTCAAAGCAAAAAAGTCACCAGCAATCATGCAGATTCTGCATGAAATGGACGAATGTATCAAAGAAGACACAGAGAAGAAGTCGGGTACAGTACAACTTTTTGAAAGGAACGAATTCCTGGTGGCATGAAATAAAGGATCCCCAGCTTGTAAAAGCACACCCTCAAGCCTACCCATTCAATACAGTACCATTCAAAGTGGCAAAGGAGCTATGTAAGAATATACAAAAATAGGGGATAATTTTTGAGATGGGAGGAGCCCAAAAGAGCTACACCTGTGGTATAAAATAGTTAATACTATATATTGTAGATTATAACTGTAACAATAATGTTATTATATTTTACCTTCTCTTTAGATATTGAAGAGGATGGTTCAGTAATACTTTTGCAAATGCTGCTCAAAGAAAAGTCAACAAATGTTGAGGCAATTATTAAACTCTGCTCGGTATGTTTTGATATATAATTATATTACAGTTTATCACTCTATGAATATATCTTAATCTTTCAGATGGAAAATGAGGTCATCATTCCATGTTTTGCACACCAATATAGGTTAGGGTTAGGGTTAGGTATTAGGGTTAGGGGTTAGGTTTAAGGTTGGGGTTAGGGTGTGTATATATGTGTATGGAGGTATCTAGTGAACTTTTCAATACACTATAATATCCATTACATAACATTTACTATATTAGTGCGCGAAACATGGAACGATTACCGAAAATGACCTGTGTTGTTTATAATTGAGACATGAAAATTTATGATCATGAATCCATAAACAATCAAAGGGTGGGTATTGAAGTCTAGTAAACAACTAGCCTTCTTATCTTTATCTTAGGACAACGAATCAATTGATGACTTCATTCAAAATACAATTGCACCGATGTTAATTGGTGCTGGGCAGTTAGGAAGCATCACACCTTTATACCTGGCATCGGAAGGAGAAATCATAATCAAGTTTTCAAACACAAACCTTATAAATGCAGTGGTGGTTCTAATTACCTCGTATTACACATTCAATGTGAAATACCCAAACAAGGGTAAAAATGTGTACTGCTTCTTGGAAGCAATTCTACTGGAAAAAACAGACGAAGCCAAGCGAAGGGTTGCCATCAATCGCTTGATGCAAGAGATGGACATGTAAAATACTACCGGTACTATAAATATACTGCACAAAAAGAAAGTAATATTCCCCCTTAAATATACTGTACATATCACTATAACTTTTAAACAAATCAGTTCCTGATAATTACACCTAGCACTATAGTTAAACCTAGATGGTAGTCTGCTTAATGGTGTGTGAAAATTCGGAATCGCTACTATTAAGCAAACTACCATAGGTCTAATCATAGTGCTATATGTGTTATTATCAGGGACTCATTTGTTTAAAAATTACACTTACAGTATATTTTTTTTTTTGGGGGGGGGGACTTTCTGCTTGCGTGGTGTTTATTATAATTACTATCTTACATTTGATTAAATTCTTTAATTTGTGCATAAGGATATCATTAGCAGCACATCAAGACAAGTATTCATTACAGTAACCAGCATGGAATGACTTCAATAATTACATATCTCGATTAAGATTCAACATGCATTGTAACATAAAACAATGCCATAAAATTGGTGCTGCTGCTAATATATTTACTAGTATTTGGCACAATATTCTGCCAATTACATTTAGTTCTATAACTCTGTTCAAAGTTTATATATAAGGTTGTTTAAAGAGATCTTTGCTATTTAGACACTTGTAAATTAGTTATATTATATATATATATATATATATATATATATATATATATATATATATATATATATATATATATATATATATATATATATATATTATATACATTATATTATAACTTAATTAATTGACCTCTTTATCACTGTCCAATGCTAGAGGGTTTTGTATCAGACTGCAGAGTTGGGCACAAGATCTTGGGTGCGCAAAGTTAGAAAATCGAAGTGCGGGTGCGCAAAATAGTTCCCAAGTGCGCATCAAGATGCAGTCAAGGGCACAAAAGTAGCAAGATACATGTTAAAAACAATGAAAATGACAGGTTAGAGGGCAGATTAAATTGCAAAAATTGTTATAAAATACATCACAAGCGCGCTGAAATTTCTGCCTAAAAAAATATCGAGTGCAATGTTGACTAACTCTGCAGTCTGGGACTTTGTAGATAAAAATATTGATCATATACTTTATGGTTAGCAATATTTTCCATCCAGCAAACCACCCTATCAAATTTTTAAAGTCGTTTTTTATTAATTCGATCGGTTAGGGTTAGGGTTGCCGTTAGGGTAAGGGGTTAGGGTAGGGTTTGGGTTAGTTACACTTCTGAAATTGACTTCAGGTCAGTTTGCTGGATGGAAAATAGTGCTAACCATATTTTATACCTCAATATTCGATCATTAGATCGATAATCCACCTACATATTCATGTTGGCACCCCACCCCAGATAAAGTTGTTCAAATATACTCAGTCGTACATTACAAAAGCTGTACTGTGATAGTGACTTATGGATAGTAATTGTCAAATTGTCATGAGATAATGTCGACATAAAAACCCACCCACTCATACAATTAAGTCAACATTATAGGCCCAAAATAGTCCCAATAAATAGTCTGCCTACAGTGGACTGACTTGAAAATGCGTCAAACGTAAATACCCTGATACTACGTATGAGGGTATAATATCCTGATACTTATTCATTTTTAATTTTACCTGTTAACGCAAGGGATCTATATAAATATACTTATTACCTGCTTTTTTATGATATGGTATGCTGATTGTGTCCCTGCATGGATTGGAACAGGAATTTTCCTTCGAAGGAACTTAAAATATTTCGATTTCAATGGCTATGTTGCAGCCTTTCAATGTGCTGCAGACTGCAGTATACACGCATGCATGTGCATTCATGGATCGCGTGATAAACTTAGGATAGAAGTCGATCACAATTTTGTCGTTGCTATGCAACCGCCACAAATTTGGACATGGCGTCGATTGTTTTATACTTGTACTTATATCTTGGCGTGGAGCTAGCTGTGGTTTTAAAAGATAAATCTTTCCTAGGACATTTTGCCAGGTAACTTTCTTTAAACTATTAATAATTCACTACGGTAACCCCTATATTGGAGTTAAAATGATTTAACTCCATAATAGGGGTTAGATTTTAACTCCAATATGGGAGTTAAATTAACCCCAAAATTGGAGTTATATTTTAACCCCAGAAATGGAGTTATTTGTAACCCCAAAAAACGGATTATTTTGAACCTTTTTTGCTAACCCCCTTTTCCGGAGTTATTTTAACTCCCTGAAAATAACAGTGTACTTTGTCAGTTTACTGTATCTATATACAAGAAAATTTACTTTCCAAGGGGGAAATGTTGGGCATTATTCCATTAATGAGTTAATTTCAGATGAAATTATTAATTAAATTTCATCCAAGATTAGGAAATATCTTGCTTCGTCGGTTACTATAATCAGGATGATACCATGTAAAGGTACTGTACTGTACTGTACTGTACTGTACTGTACTGTACTGTACTGTACTGTACTGTACTGTACTGTACTGTACTGTACTGTACTGTACTGTAATGTACTGTACTGTACTGTACTGTACTGTACTGTACTGTACTGTACTGTACTGTACTGTACTGTACTGTACTGTACTGTACTGTACTGTACTGTACTGTACTGTACTGTACTGTACTGTACTGTACTGTACTGTACTGTACTTTTAACTACTTTACTGTAAACACATTTACTGAAGTTTTACCATTGTGATAGTACTTGTTGTCTTTGACAAATGTATATGAATTCAGTTGTGAACATTTAAATTTGACAGTAACTTAATGTGTCAATGATGCATGGTTTGAAATCAAGTTGTAGAGCTTTAATTCTAGAAATATATGGCTGGTTTGTATAAAATATATTTCACAGAAAACTTTCTCGCGTACTTTTTGGATTAGATGAAGCAATTGACTTAGGATAATTAGACTGATTGCTGGGTTTACGAGGTAAGTTGCATTAAGTAGTTAGAAAGCGTTCCGTAAACTAACGCTCTCGGAAGATTTTCCCTCATTTTTTAATTATTTCTACGCAATTTTTAATGTTATGAGAACTAAGTGATGTTTTTTCATCGATTTGGTTTTCATAACATTAAAAATGTGTAAAAAATAATTAAAAAGATGAGGAAACGTCTTCAAGAGTACCGGTTTAACTCCTAAAACGGAGTTAAAATTATATAACCCCTGAATAGGGGTTAGATTTTAACTCCAATATGAGAGTTAGATTAACCCCCAAAAGTGGAGTTACATTTTAACCCCAGAAATGGAGTTATTTGTAATCCCAAAAAACGGATTATTTTGAACCTTTTTTGCTAACCCCCTTTTCCGGAGTTATTTTAACTCCCTGAAAATAACAGTGTATGTGTAATGGTCGAGTTATATTACACAGGCCGAGTAAAAACTAGGCGGAATATTACTCGATATTTTTACTGCTACTTAAAATTTACTCCGTTATTTTTATTACGAGTAAAATTTACTCGTTATTCAGTTTATGAGTAAAATTTACTCCTTTAAGTGGAGTTAAATTGACCCGAGTTAACTGAAATAACCCCTTGAAATTTACAGTGTACACTCAATTAACTAAATGACCAATAAAAAGTTGGTTATAATAACTTTTATAAATTGGTCGAAAGATGACCAATTTTTTCAACCAATTAAGTAATAGTCAAAGGAACCAAATTTAATTGGTCAAATGCGACTAACTAATTAAACAATTGGTCAAAATGACCAATTGCCAATGGTTGCAACCTAAAAAAATGGTCATTTTAACCAATCAGTTTTTACAGTGTGTGAAGCTTAATTGTGAGGATATTTGGTAAATGTGGATGTCCGGAAAGAAACAAAATTTACTTTATATATTCAATTATATGAAATAGTTTATATTATAATGTTTTTAAAAACTTATCTACTCTTCTATATTATTCATTGTTTTTAAGAAATGCACATGTCTTTGAGTGTGAGTTGTGACAAAGGATGAAATTTGTCGGTAGAACGTTTCTTGAGCAATGTGTATATCTGAGAAAAATCTTCACATGACTTATATATATATATATATATATATATATATATATATATATATATATATATATATATATATATATATATATATATATATATATATATATATATTTACCGATTAACCCACGCTAATAGCTTCCCACGAAAGTTTCATTCGCTCGAAACGTCGAAGTCTTGTTTGTATTTCTCAAGTAGTTGTATATCCTACAATCTTTGCCAGAAACTATGGGACAGCTGCTGTAATTTCATATAATTTGAAAGGAATAGCGCCCCCCGTTCCCCCAGTTCAATGTTGGGCCAACAAAAATCTGATGTCTGGATGCGCGGCGCCAACATTGAAACGGGTGGGAGGAGGGAGGGTGGAAAATATGTATCAGGAAATGGTATATTACAACCGAATGCATGTGAAAACTAGATTGTCCCAATCTATATTGTCAAAGATTGTCTGTTGAAGTAATACCATTACTCTTAAATTTAACTTAATTCAACTTGTAGACATCATCAAGCTGTGTACGCAGTCAATTTTCATAAGTTCTTCACACCTTCTAGGTCCTTTAGCAATTTCGTTGCACACAGATAATTTGCGTGTACTGTGTTATACAATGCTTGCGTATGCGTGTGTTAGGAAATAGCTAAAATCCGGCTGAATTTCATCGCGTATATTTAAAATCAGATTTAAAGGCTTGTAGTGGTACATTTTAGTCACAATTCATTGAATTCCATGCATGGTAACAGTATTGGAACTCTATTTAAAGAAAATTGACAACTGAGCCAACTTGTTAGTAAACTAAGCGCGTACATGTGACAATGAGATCCATATAGAAACGAATCTCACCACGGATCTCACCATATTTTGATGGGCTCACACGCCATAAAAGCCTTAATAGCAGACAGTATCAAACAAATTCACCCTAGGCATCTAAAGTCCTGCATATTTTACAAGATAGGACGATTTTACAAGTTTTCGTGACGAACTGACTAAGATACGAATGATTTTCTAGCAACGATTCTCACTTTCTGTCATAAAATAGCCAATGAGATATAGATTTATTT